ATTGTTCATCTACTTCCTTAACTTCACTGGATGTTTTAAAATTAGCCTTTTCCCACTGGCATTGAACTAAGCATATTCTTATGGGAATCGGGTAAAATAGATGGATGTGTGGGAACTGGAGTATGAGGGAGATAACCTGAGTGTGTGGAGACCCCCATCTAGGTTTAGATTTCTGGGAAGAACTGAAGTGTAAGAATTGGAGTGTGGGATGGTTCTGGAAAGGTGCAGGGCTTGTATTCATTTACCTTTTCTCGTCTTCTTTTTTTCACCTGGTTTTGTAATACTGAAAACAGCAAGACTTCTGGGAGGGAGAACAATGTGATTTCACCTTGTGTAATTCTGCTACCAGCCCAGCCCTTGGGATGGGTCAACCCTATAAATCTAAATCTTTCAAAAACAATGGATATAGTTTACTGCAAGGGATTTTTCATAAAAGAAATGCAAATATGCTGTATAAAATGGCTGGGGGTGGGGGAGAGAGAGGCCACACCATCTGGAAAGTTTTTCAGCCCTGGAACAGCCATCTCAATTTAGCATTGAGGTATATAACGATGAGTGTTACACTGAGGAATGTATTAAAGACATGGTAATGATTTTCCAATGCGCACGTCAGCAGATAATAGGGAAATATCCTCTACTATTTCCCTTAAAAAATTTTTTTGAGAGAGTTCAAAAACTAACCCTTGTTTGTTTGTTTTTTCCAAAGGAGAGAACATGGTTTTGGGCAACTTGGAATGCCAAAATATGACATTTTTCTAACTTAAGCATATCTCCAATCCACTTTATCATTCAATCTGTTCTGAACTGAATGTAGACTTTCTTGTGAGAATATATGCAGGTAGTCCTTGACTTATGACCACAACTGAGTCCAAATTTTCTGTGGTTAACCAGATAGTTGTTAAGTGACTTGTGCCCCATTTTATGACCTTTTTTGCCATAGTTGTTAAGCGAATCATTGAAGTTGTTAAATGAATCTGGCTTCTCCCGTTGACTTTGCTTGTCATAAGCCAGCTGGGAAGGTTACAAGTGGTAATCACATGACCCTGGGACAGTGCAACAGTCATAAATACATGCCAGTTGCCAAACATCTGAATTTTGATCACATGACCATAGGGATGCTGCAATGGTCGTAAGTGTGAAAACTGGTCATAAGGTACTTTTTTCAGTGCTGTTGTAACTTTGAACAGTTACTAAATAAATGGCTGTAAGTCAAGGACTAACTGTACATAGGCTATAAATCTGTTCGAAATTGTGTTTTGTTATTCTTTTAAAACAAACAACATCCAGATCACAAGACTCAATATATGTGGAAGGCACTAGATTGGTGAATACTCATTTAGCCACTACTTCACCCTGGTTTTTTGATTTAACAATAGAAGGAGATTGTGTGCTCATAACAACCACTATTTTTACAAGACTATTAATATCCAGTCCTTTTATACATTTCCAGTTATCATTATGGTAGCTCTCTATGTTGAGATGATAAGATAAGATAAGGTAAGATAAGATAAGATAACCTTTATTATCATTTTTTTTTACTGTGGGCACAATAGCACACATCAAAAATGAAATTTAGTTGCCTGCTCTCAAAGTGAAACACATACATGACACACACCTAAAACATACTACGTACAACATATGTATAGACCCACACCCCTACATATACATAGCAAATAAATATTAAATACTGTCCATCTTGAGTATATAACGGAAGAGGAAGCTTGAGAGTTCACAAGGTTAATGCTGTATGGAATGAAACTATGGCTGAATCTGGATGTAAAGTCTTTATATTCCATGGACCAGTAGTGGGCCGTGGCATGCCAGCAACTGGTCCACATAAGCAAGCAGAGCCCCATCCGTGAGATGCAGGCAGCACACAAAACCACATACTCTGGTCCACAGAAAAACCTCTCTCCACGGAACCGGTCTCTGGTGCCCAAAAGGTTGGGGACCTCTGATATAGTGGATCTAATAGGAAATGTACAGAATATATTTTGCTGGTTTAGTTTCTTGCTAACCTAAATTCTATATTGCATTTAAAATGTATTACTTTGCTATCTTTGAAACAATTATTTCAGCAAACTATAAAATAAAGAAATAATATTGTCAAGCTATTGTCAGTTACCAGAAAAGCTGTCTAAATGTTCATGTTTAACTTTGCAGTGCACATGCTTTTTAACTTTACTTCTCCATAAAATGAAATCACATTCTCTTTCAGTTAAGAACTTTTATCATGTTTATTATCAAACAGTTTGATTAATGGATTCACCAATTTTTTTTAATCTTCCAGCTGGTGAAAAAGTAAATTATTAATCTGTGTAGGTACAAGACAAACACCTTCTTGCCCTAATTTTCAATTGATGTGGATGGATTGCCTTGCTAATTATAGATGTGGTGGCATTTAGAAAATGTAATCTTTTTCACATGAATACAAATATTTTTGGAAGACAGTTGACCTAATGTTTCATTTCTTGAATATTTAGAACCAAAATAAAAAATTAAGCCCGTTAAGTTAAATGAATTTGATTCATTAGAAAATAAGTAAATATTTTGATTGCTTCTGCTTAGAAAAAGGCACAATTTATGCTTTGTTCATTCATTTTATAAACTAGAACCATCTATGGGTACAGCATAATTAGTTTTAATACGGTAAAATATTAATTTCCTGAAACCTCATGTTACATTTATCTTCCTGAAATATAACTGGACTTTCCATTATATATACTGAGTCTTTTTAACTTTTGGCATATATGTTCCTGATCTTATGACTACTTAAACAGTTTTAGAATGTGGCCCAACTTGTTTGGAAATACTAAATATAAACTTATCTATAATCAAGAAGAGTGGTCTTTAAAAGACACATGACTGGAAATTTGGAGCTATAATCCCAACATACCCCACCTGGAGGCACATCTAGTATACCTTACTTTATCTTAGAAATGCCAAGTCTGCGCAGATATGATTCATATTTGGATGGCAGACACTGGGAAATACCCATAGGTAAACATAGGGTGAAAAAAACATTCCGTGGAAGGAAGCACGGAATGCTTTCATGGCAACCATTTCCTTTTTTTTTTTTTTACAAATTTTTTATTAATGTTTTCAAATAAACATAAACAAATAATACAAATATGGTGCATTTAATTAGAAAAACAAACACATAAAAAGCCTACTCAGTAGGTATTCAGAAATAATCGGCGGTCCCCCCCCCCTGCATCCACACTCCCTCAACCTTCCTACCTACTTCCCTCTCCCTTCCTCCCCCTCTTAACCACCACCTCTCCTCTTTCCTCCTTTCCAACTATCCTACACATCCCATCACCTTCTTTTCCACCACCTCGGATGCAGTTTAGGGGTACTAACCAATCATCTCCTCTTCTTAAGGACAAACATTTACATTATATTTATAAATACACCAAATTTTATATAATTCTACCCCTTCATCCCCTCCCCCCTCCCCCCCGGACTTCCCAGAACTGAGTACAGGGATAAATACATAACATCCCAAGTCTAAATTAAGCTATCCATTCATAATACAAACAAAATTAACATACTTTAACTCTAACATACAATAGTAAACTTGAATATAATATATATATATATATATATAAATTATATTAAATATATAAAAAATATTAGAAAAGAAAAATATTTATTCAAAAGCTATATGATAATTAATCACTTCATACTTTCTCTTAATATAATCTATCCATCTTCTCCATACCAAAATAAATTTTTCTTGAAATTGATCCTTCAAGTATGCGGAAACTTTTGCCATTTCTGCAAAATATGACACCTTCAATCTCCAATCATCCATAGTCGGTAATACCCCTTTCTTCCAGTTTTGAGCAATCAGTAATCTTGCTGCTGTTATACAATACAGCATCAGATTCATTTCTTTAGGATCCAAATTTTCCATAATACCCAATAAAAATAATTGCGGTGTAAATTTTATCTTTTTCTTAAAAATCTGTTGCATGGCAACCATTTCCATACCACTATTGAAAAAAACCTACATGAATGGTCAGGGAAGTCACCAGAAGTTGAGCAGGACTGTAGTTCTAACTTTTCTGGAGTACACCAGAGTATGAACAGGTGATAGATTTCTCCTGCAGTTACCAGGCTATATGTGCATATATTTTCAGGTACCATTAACTGAGTATGAGATTCATGTCTGGAATCTATTACACATGCACACATGTCTTTGTAATTTGTTTTTTTTTATATAAAGGGGGGGTGACTGAATCACTTTTGAGCCTGGGAAATAGTTTCTAGGAATGGTAGTTTCTGGGAGGATAGACTGAGATAAGATGTTTTCTTGTTCTTGATGGGAGGGGTTAGATATGAGGAGGTTGCAGTGCTGAAGTGTTGGAGTGTGTTGGAGTGTCTTGTCTTATCAAGAACAACTGCATAGATCAGTGATGGCGGACCTTTTAGAGACCGAGTGCCCAAACCGCAACCCAAAACCCACTTATTTATCGCAAAGTGCCAGGGCCACATCAGCATTGTGGTGCCCTCGGGGTGGGCGTGGGCGTGGGCATGGACCACTGGGTGGGCGTGGCTATGGTGGTCACGGCAGACTGAGTGTCATGGCAGGGGTGGGCGTGGCCACCTTGATGTTGTTCATGGGGAGGACACCTATGGGGGCTGGGCAGGATTGAGGGAGATCCAGGGGGTCTCTGGTGGGTGGGGCGGTGAGCAGGAGACTCATCCTGCAGGCTGAGGCAGGGGGAAGGATGGGGGTGCCATTGCTGCGGGGCAAGGCAAGGCAGGGGCGGCTGCTATCTGACACCAACAGCCACTGCACAGAGAGGCCAGCGAGTGCATGGGGGCATGCTCTACCACCTCTACTCGAGCTTGCTAGCCAGCTGCTTCGCCTCCTTTGTGCTGGGTGGGGCTACCGCTCCGGGTGCCAGCGGTGGCCTAATGGACCTGTGTGAGCTGGCGGCGGCNAAAAAAAAAAAGCAAACCCATTGCTAAGTTTTCATTTTATTTTTCAGTGATGTGCTTGCACTGCCATTCTTTAAACAAGAAGAGCCTCAACTTTCCCCCGAGAATGATACAAAACTCCCTCCGTTTCAATATGTGCTGTGCGCAGCGACATCTCCTGCCATAAAACTTCACGAAGAGACTCTGACTTATCTCAACCAAGGTAGGACCAAAGCAAAATTGAATGGATTCTGGTTGTTTGAATTGATCTTTGGTGGTTTGAAGACTAAACATAGCAGATCCTAATTTGGTCTGAAGATTGTTTGTGCATGACTGGGGGACATCATTTAAGGTACTGTGTCTGAAATGTGCCACAGTGGAGTAGAATTATGTATATTTAGGAAGATTATATTTTCACTGATTTTGTATTAGAGACATATTTGACAAATGAAAAATATTGCAATTGCCAGTTGCAATGTTGTACTCATTTAACATTAATTCTTTTACTGAGGTAGAAAAACAGAACTTTACTGAATGGTGAGAGATTGTAGATTTTGCTTTGTTTCTGCTTAAGACAATACTATCTGGTTACTGAATCTAGGAATCAAGGTGCAATAGAAAAATGCAAAATGTACACTATGAAGTGTATGAAGATTCTGCTACAAAATGCTGAAGAGTGTATACCAGTTTTTCCCAGCTAGTTCCCTCTAGATGTTTAAGATGTATATCTTTAGAATTCCCATACAGCACAGCACCATTTGGTCAGGAATTCTGAGAGTTGTCAGCCAACACATCTGGAAGACATTTGTGCTGGGTGTGCATTGTATGAGTTGGAGAATGTTGTGTATGATTCTGGGCTTCTTAGATAAAAGATGGAACATAGCAATGAATATTGAGGCTTGAATAGTGATTGGTTTGTGGAAAAAATGCGTTTGTACAACCCACAGTTGTTAGGTTGAACTTGCATGTTGTTGATAGTTTATTGCATGAGCCCAGTTAGTTGTGCTTTAAACTATTTCTAGAGGTTTCTCTTTCCCTAATAAATGTGGGGATATTTCTCATATATTTGTATATGTGTATCTGCATTATATATTTGCTAGAAGCCATGCTTCACAAAAACTAAGGTTGACAAAATTTAAAAAAAGATACCCCATTTTGCAACGAGCCATGATGGC